ATGTTTACCGAAATTCCAAAATGTGTTTTCCAAAAGATTAGTTAAGTAGGGTTGTAAAACTAGTCTGCCTGCAACATAATTCTATAATATTTCAGTTACCTCAGGATGCCCGCTTTCAAATGAACTTCCTTCCGGCCACCTGCAAAAAAGTACGCTCTGTGAGAAATGAGTACTTGCGCAGCATGAGTTTTTCTCATTGATTTTCGATGCCCCTAAAAGTCCAATTATATTTCTTGGAAAACATGCATACAAATATTCATTTTTTGCTCATTCGGTAGAAAATTAGGTGTTCTTCCAATCTTATACTCGAAGGAAGGGTATAATTCGGTTTTCATAGACTTTTCCAATTCCCGAATAATCTTAAACCCACACTACCATTACACTTGGATTCAGGGTTTCGAAACTACAAGCCGTATATTTTCCGCTTACATCAAGCACATTTTTCTACGGTACTAAATGAGGACCATATGCGATTCGTAAAATTTAGTAGTGGATTTGATTCATATTGTTAACTTTAAAGCCACATTGGTAAATGCAGAGACATTACCATTTATGAACGGCCATTTCACGGTATTTAAAAGTCCCCAAATTAGAAACTTTTTTAAAACCGAATTGTGTCCCTCCTTCGAGTATAAAATTAGAAGAAAACGTAATTTTTTTTACCGAATGAGCATGTTTTCCATGAAATGTAATTGGACTTTCTGGGGCATCGAAGATCAATAAGAAAAATTCATGCTACTTGCGTAGTTGTTTTTTTACAGACTGCAGTTTTTGCATGCAGTCGGAAGGAAGTTCGTTCGAAAACCAGCATCCTGAGGTAACTGAAATATTACAGAATTATGTTGCAGGCTGACTAGTTTTACAAGCCTACGTAATTAATCTTTTCGAAACGAAAACGCATTTCGGACTTTCGGTTGACATTTCATGAGTTAGCCCACCTACTGTAGAGCGGAAGAGCATGATCCTGCACTATTACCGAAGGGTTTAACCATAGGGCGGTTTAATCGGCACCCCTAGAAACTGGGCAAATCTACAGTGAAAGAGGCGTTCCGCCAAACTTGACATAATAAAAAACGTTCAAAATATTCCGGCCAACCGCTCCCCCTTGTCTGCTGATCTGCCCAGACCTAAGTCGGAACTCACCTGATAGTTAGGGGCCCATTTCTAGATGCGGTCTTTTCGCTATACGACACGCACTGAAACTCCTGCACTACTGACTAAATGCGGATAAGCGCGTACTGTTATCTTCAGTTAGTTCATCCATTACCAAATACTGACCTTAAATATAGGGCTTTTTACATCTTCTGCGAACACATCACTCCTACAAAAATCACAACTTTGGTAGTACCAGTTTTTTTTCCTATCAATGTGTCAAATTCATATTCATGAAAATGGATAGCCAGCGCAGAGAGTGCAGCAGTTACGCGACCGCATGTTGTGACATCAGCATCTCCTGCATTTACCTCAAATGTCTGAATCTCGTCCGTTGGCGGATTGACCGTCCACAGGCGAGTTGTTTATGACTGCGATTTCATCGTCGGTACTGGTGATTCGCGTGCTAAATAGTCGACAGTTCGGTTTGTTGATGCGTTTCTTACTCCTGCGACCGAGTCTCCTCAACTACTACCTACCCCTCTTTGTCTGCATCGGCAGCCGGCACTCCACAGACCTAATTTCCTACCGGTCGTTTTTATACCCTCTCCCGAAAACGCGCACTGACGCAGATGGGATAACAGTACCATTATCGGCGCGGTCCCTAAAAAACGGTGACAAAGTTCAGGCCTGGCCTAATGCCGACTTCGATGCGCATTAAGGGGAGCCGAGGAAGGTATCCCGCCGGCTGACCACCTCTGAAAGCACTGGGCAACGACTACGATAACAGGTCATCTGCCCTTCCGGTGAGCCCTTTGTCCACTTCTAGCGAACGCTGATCAAAGCCACTGCTTCCCTGCATCCATACTGCGGGAATTTTGATGGTGTCTGTCCCACAGTGGGCGAGCCACGTCCTCTCAATCACTCCGTCTGACGACGGACTCACGCATCGGTCTGGTCGGTCACTTGATAATTTGTCACAATCATATGGGCGCCAGGAGCTGTTACATCCACTCGCCGAATCGGCCCCCACTGCCCGCTTTGTCACCGCATGGGCCTATTCGGCCATACGTGCATCCACGACAGCGGAATTCACAATATCGACACACCAAGCACAACTTGCACATCCGACAACTCTCTTATCCCCAACCCTACGAATTCCTCATCCACCAACGTGGCCGCCTCTAGCAGCATAAGAACCCCAACGGACTCGGCATCTCCCAACCTATCCTGCCTACACTGCCACCGTACATGCGCATTACGTATCGGCCTGGTGGGTCACTTGAGGATCCATCGCGCAGACTGGCGAATGAGTGCCTGGAGCACCTGCATCTGTCGCCATTTCCCCATCTGGCCGCATTTCCCTCGTTCATTCAGCCATAGCATAGGACTAATCAGTCACATGCGCGCCCTCACGAAAATTTGCGTCAAAATTGAGTAGGCCACGTCACCACACATTCCTTCATCGGCACATGTATCACACACACACGAACACCTCCAAAACCACACCACGCAGACACCCCTCGCGTAAGTGAAAAGTGTGTTCTTCAAGTCCTCTGTTAGATCTTAGCAGTCCACGCCCTCTAGTGTGATGTCCTGGCGTGCGCATACGGGGGTCTCGTCGCATGGCATGCACAGACAGGCCATCATCAGGTGTCAGCTACCTCTCCCAATTTCAGCATCAGTTGATTGACTAGCTCAGACAGTCGACTGGTGCAGGGAAAAGAGCAGAGTGAATGAGTTCGATCCTCAGCGCATAATTCGTCACTGCAAACGATCTTACTCGCTCGTATCCATCACGGCGAACTAAAGCCGTGACGGGATAACTCAGATCTCGCAATCAGCCCGGCGTGTTTGTGTGGAGTGGCCGACTGGTGGATCGAGAGTCATGCTGCAATGGCCCCTTGTTAATGTGGCCTCTACTCAGTGAGATCCGAACCGGTGTGCTGACACACTTTAGCGCGGGTTTTCGTCACGCCCGCTACCTGCGTCGCGTCCTGCCTCCGGTCTTCTTGCCTCTGTCATGACACTGGGCCCGGCTGGGGGGAGGGGGGATTGCGGTAGATGCTGCGCATGTCAACTACCAGTATAAATGAATTCACGCGTAAGTCACCGTCCCTGCTCCCCCCGCCCTGCTGTGGAGCACACGGTGGACATCGTCGGCAACGACGGTCGAACTATCACCAGCTGGAGAACTTGTGGCGGCCAGCCATCATGACCGGCCTGGTGTCATTGTTCAAGACCTCGCTGCCTCAAGGTCATTCACCCCTTGCAGCGAGCCGTCCCAGACAAGCAGACCTGAAGTCACACGACCAACAGCTCGGGCATACCTGCGTCCGCGCGGTCGCAGCTGCCCATGCGGCCACTTGAACGCGCCACCCCCTGCAACCAACACAACAAGCCACTGGGACTCCACCCCTTGGCAAATGCAGCACACACCGACTGGAGACCACTTGAGCTTGGCCCACGAGCCTACAAAAGCGGCTGCCACCACTGCCTCAAGGACTCTCAGGCCTGACTGGACGCAGTCAACACGAGCCCTGGCTTCGCCAGTGGCCACTACCGCGTGAGAGGACAACACCGGGGTTCTCTGCACAATAAATCCCCAAACTGGTTCCTTCTGTCTTCTCCTTACGACCTGATTATTGTAGCGCTCTGAGTACCGACACACTCGCACAGTGCTGCAACAAACTCACAAGCGAGTTACTGAGGGCTGTTTTTCCTAGCACAATCTCAGAGCAACTGCCGCCGCATATACTACCTTGATGCTCATTTTGTCGTGGGAGGACATTTTAAAATGTTTAGACATTGGAATACTTGGCTGTATTCAGGCGGACGTCTAAAGAGCCGTATCCACTTTCCGAACCGAAATATCCCATACCGTTAGACAGGTATCATTACCTCTAGGAACCGAGCTTTTCCTCGATCTCAAGAAAAACGAGCGTCTTATGCAAGTATTAGACGAGGCGTTTGAAAAGATAGCATACTGTGATGCAGAAGTCTGTTGCCTGAAGCCTGTACTCGCGCCCGGTTGTGGTCGCGGGAACGGGCTCCTTCTCCCGCTAGGCCAGGTCACATTGTTGCAGGCCGGTCAACCAGATTTCGCATATGGAAATAATGTCGTCTTGCAGTTGTGTACGTGCGAACCTGGCCTGCAGCGGGAGGCGATCTGGCACCGTCGCCCGAGTTGGTGGCAAACTGCAAGGGGCGACGCGGGCAGCTGCTGCCCCGAAATATCCATCCAGCCTGTATGATTTCCCTTTTCTGGTTATCTTCGAGCATAACCACAACTCATTCCGCCTCTGCAAGGCTGTCTCCCTTCTAATAACCCTCTCGCCCTCATCCACTTCATCTTGCAGGTGAAGGAGTTGGAGCTGGATCTGGCGCACAACAAGGTCAAACTAGTGGACGAGCAGTGCCAGCAGCAGGAGTTGAGTCACCGGCTGCAGCAAACTACCACCGAGTTGGAACGCTGCCGACAGGAGTTGGAGGTGGCACGCAACTCCAATCCGCGGCAATGGTTGGCCAAAAAGTGGACAAACATGCGGACCTCCGCCATCGCACCCTCCGACGCGCCCTCATCGCCGGCCCAAAAGCAGCGTTCGCAAACTTCACCGTCATCTCCAAGGACAAGCACCCAAACCAAAGTGTAATTGAGCCAGCCTCACTCCCCTCCCCCTCCTCTTATTACCTCCGCCCATTGTGATACTCGAACGCTCTACACACCCACAACAAACAGATATACATATTTTCCCCATGTGCTCTTCTCTCTTCTCTCAAGTTGTAAAAAGGAAAAGAGGACGACAGGACGTCAATAATACTTTATTGGCACCTTTGTAGTATAAATGTGAGGGTGGGGGTGGATAGGTAGGGATCAGGCTATGTACAACACGTAGGATGGGGGCGCACTAATCGTCGAACTTGAAGGAGCACACTTCTGTTGTGATGGCGCCACCAGAGTAGGTGCCGCGTTTCTTCTTCGTCTTTTCGTGGCGGAAGTCCTTGCCTCGCGTGTGTTTCAGCGTCATGTCGGCCTTCTCGCCAAAGCTTCCACGCGCACCCACCTGGAAGGAGAAAACAGGACTGTTGTTGACTGATGTGTCCTTCTCGACTGCTGAACAAACAGGGTGAGGGAGCCCTTCAAATACGTAAACACACACACACACAAACAGACTGGCAGAGAACATCCCATGGTGGGGTGAGGCAGATTTTCCACAAACCTCTAGATTCGTAGATGCGGAGGCCTCGGGTTGACGGCGTGGGTCCTAGGAATTTATTAGCGCATACTTGGTTGTCCGCGGACCGGTAACCCTAGTCGGCTTGGGCAAAACGAATGTCTGAGGGCTATATCTCTAGTTTGGTGATGGGATGTCTTCTAACTGCTGGACACTCTTATCTGCATGTCAAGCGGGCGTCTGACCCTCACTGTTGTAGTTAGGATCTCATTCGATCCCATTCTGTCCGCCTGCCAGGTTGCTACTGGCGACAACGACCACTGTGTCATAGGACACATAACACATAGGCAGCTCACTAGGAGTGCAACAGGCCAGACGCAGACAGCTGTTTCACGATCGTCACCGATCATCAGTACGTCATAGGCTTTATGTAGTGAGGTATATAAGCATGTCAAGTGGGCGTTTGACCCTCACTGTTGTGGTTAGGATCTCACTCGATCCCATTCTGACCGCCCACCAGCTTGCTACTGGCGACAACGAACACATACCCCATATAATACATAGGCAGCTCGCTAGGAGTGCAACAGGCCAGACGCAGACAGCTGTTTCACGGTCGTTACCGATCATCAGTGTCTCTTATCTTCCGGGACACAATGAATTGCGTCCAGCCAGGTAGTTGGACTACTAAAATGAGCACATGGCCAACAAGTACTGGACACTGAACGACCCTTCTCTGTGTGCTACCAAACGCTTCACTAAGCGCTGGTCAATTTGTACGGACTGAATCACATCAAGGTGTGAGGGGAAGTGGTGTGACTTGAGCCCCATTGATAAATACCTAGCTTTTTGGTGGAGCCGGAAATATGCGCTGATTGCTAGTCACAAAACAACCTGAACAGTCTGGAAGGCTATAGGCGTCAAATGCAAAGGCTGTCCATAGTGAGTCGGGATACCGATAGGGCGGGCAACACAGCCTTATCATTTGTCTAGAAAGAGAACAAAAAGAGCGCTGGGGCGGGCCTACCTTGGCAGCAAATGAGTTGTCAGCTAGATGGGGATTCACTTTCACACAGTCGTCAGGAACTCGTCGGAAGGGCTGTCGTGGTGCCGATCCTGGAGGTTTAACTTCGGCTACCTTTTTGGCGCCGTTGCTTAGTGCCGGTAGGGAGTGTCGCGGGGGCTTTTTAGGGGCGACGCCCTGAGCCGGAGTGGATGCAGCGTTTGGAAAGGATGACATGTTGAGGGTGGAGTCTGCATCGCCAGAAGCGTTCAATTTTGGCTTCCTCGTGTTTCCTAAAGGCGTACGAGGCGTTGAGGAGTTAAAAAGAGGATGGAAACACATGTGAAGGAGCCGCTTCTTCAGCAGTATTTTGAGAGGCAACAAAAATACCCGGCAAGACGGAAACGGATCGTAATGATAAGTTTGAGTACTGCGCACTGACCAGCTATCTCGCGTGCAACACTGTGATTATGATAGCGACCGCACCCTGTTAATCGAGTCAAGTGACCAGGTATATCAGATGAGGTCAGAGGGTGCGTCTTGTCCCAGATTAAGAATTAGTCGTGACGTAGAATTTGCACATGTGAACTGTGCAGGATTTCGTAGCCATTTGTCTTTTAGTCGTGTAAATGTGCCGCAATCATAATGGGAATGGGAAGATCGGCGCTGAACTAGTTTCGCACCCGAGTTGCCTTCATCGGTCGGTCACCTCTTAAAATCAACTCATCAAACCTAAACGCAAGCACAAGAAGAGACAAAATAAGAGATTTTAAAGCAGGCATAGGCAGCAGAATTTATTGGAACCAGTAAACTGCGGGACAACCTATCAACTGCAGCCTCTCGTTCCATAACACAGATAACAAGTGAGAAACGCACAGGGGCTTGAACTTCGACAGGAAAAATCAATGTAAAACAGCAAGGTCATCGTATATTGCACGCAGACTAATCAATAAAATGGTAACTTCAAAACGCAACACAGGAAAGAAAATGGGGAGGTAAACACGTCGAGGGATTTCGTAAATCAAAAGGGGCTCAGGTCTACCAGGGCAAGCTGAGGTTAACCACGCGGTCTAACTGTTTACAAAGGTCGGCTTTCTCCCGCCGTATGTAGGCTGCCTCCAGGTAGCGCAATAACCGAGTTGTTCGTGCTCGAACTAATACTCGAAAAGATGTTTTGCGGTCAACCGAATAGCCACTATCAAGGAGGTGTTTTGTGATAGAAGACTGTGGAATCTTATTCTCCAGCTTTAGAAGCTGCAGAATATGAGTTCAGCTGAGTTGTAAGTTCTTTCAATGGCGCATCTCAATCGCCGCTTGATGGCATTGGAGATGTTGTTGCCCTTAAAGGGTAAGGATATTACAACGGACTTTTTCGGAACTGATTGCTCCGTCAATTTTGGCCGTAAAGTGTTGCTATACTTTTCGGTGAATCGTGTTGGATATCCACATTTAAGCAGGGCTGTTTTGAGGCAAGAAATTTCATAATCCAGCGTTTCAATAGAGCAAATATTTCTTGCTCTTTGGAATAGAGTGTAAACCAAATTTCGCTTTCTTCGTATCAACACAAAGCTCAAGGAGTGCAGTTATTGGCCTTTCCATGTATACTTGTGGAAAACAGATCGCCTTATTGAACCATCTCCCTTTGTAGTCATGAGGACATCCAGGAAAGAAAGCTTGCTGCACTGCTCTTTTTCCATTGTGAATTTAATGTTAGGATGGAGACTGATCATGGCAACAAGTAGATCTTCGGCTTCATCGTCGTTATCAACAATAGCAAAAATATTGTCTACATATCTTTTGCACTGTATTTTCATATTCAATTTTACTGACGACTTTTCTTCTAAGTGACCCATAAAAATGTCGGCAAGGGTTGGACCAAGTGGACTTCCCATTTCCACTCCATCAATTTGTCTGTATAGCTGTCCATTGAACAGAGATTGGACGTTTTTCGTGCAAGGTTTCAACAGGTCACGTAGTACTTCGGATAAAAGGCGGGTTTCAGACGCATGGGCGCATATGATATCGATAGTCTCATCCAGTGGTACATTCGTGAATAGTGATACAACGTCCAAGGATATCATGGTTTTGTTGGAAATGTTCTGATGCTTTATTTCTTCAATAAAATGGAAACTGTATTTAATTTTGTAAGTCGAAAATAGCGCAACCAACACCAATAACTAAAGAACACGTGGCTGCCTTAGCTGCATTGAAGCGCCATGAACAAGTAGTAATTTCCAAGCCTGACAATGGCCACGGAGTTGTCATTCTTAACCGGAGAAACTACGTAAGCAAAATGAAATCCATTTTAGACGATCATAGTTAATTTCGTCTCGAAACGCCCGTGAATGATAAAACCAAGGCAGTGGAAGAATCCGCCTCGACGCGGAATCTCGTAAAATTCCACAAGATACTCCTTGCTGTTTATGCAACTCCGAAGAAATTCAACGCGTGTATTCTCCCTCGTTATTCTGCATCGCAGTAGCAAGATCCTTTCCAAGGACTTAATTATGTCTGAGGGGAGGTGCTGTTTGAGAACCTTGAAGCATTATTTCCCCGGAATGAATTTAAAGCAGGCATGGACAGCAAAATATGTTGGAACCAGTAAATTTCGCGACGGCTTATCAACTGCAGCCTGTCGTTGCATAACATTTTCAACGAAAGCATAATATCCTTGGACGTTGTATCACTATTCACAAATGTACCACTGGATGAAACCTTGCACGAAAAACGTCCAATCTCTGTTCAATGGACAGCTATACAGACAAATTGATGGAGTGGAAATGGGAAGTCCACTTGGTCCAACCCTTGCCGACATTTTTATGGGTCACTTAGAAGAAAAGTCGTCAGTAAAATTGAATATGAAAATACAGTGCAAAAGATATGTAGACAATATTTTTGCTATTGTTGATAACGACGATGAAGCCGAAGATCTACTTGTTGCCATGATCAGTCTCCATCCTAAGATTAAATTCACAATGGAAAAAGAGCAGTGCAGCAAGCTTTCTTTCCTGGATGTCCTCATGACTACAAAGGGAGATGGTTCAATAAGGCGATCTGTTTTCCACAAGTATACATGGAAAGGCCAATAACTGCACTCCTTGAGCTTTGTGTTGATACGAAGAAAGCGAAATTTGGTTTACACTCTATTCCAAAGAGCAAGAAATATTTGCTCTATTGAAACGCTGGATTATGAAATTTCTTGCCTCAAAACAGCCCTGCTTAAATGTGGATATCCAACACGATTCACCGAAAAGTATAGCAACACTTTACGGCCAAAATTGACGGAGCAATCAGTTCCGAAAAAGTCCGTTGTAATATCCTTACCCTTTAAGGGCAACAACATCTCAAATGCCATCAAGCGGCGATTGAGATGCGCCATTGAAAGAACTTACAACTCAGCTGAACTCATATTCTGCAGCTTCTAAAGCTGGAGAATAAGATTCCACAGTCTTCTATCACAAAACACCTCCTTGATAGTGGCTATTCGGTTGACCGCAAAACATCTTTTCGAGTATTAGTTCGAGCACGAACAACTCGGTTATTGCGCTACCTGGAGGCAGCCTACATACGGCGGGAGAAAGCCGACCTTTGTAAACAGTTAGACCGCGTGGTTAACCTCAGCTTGCCCTGGTAGACCTGAGCCCCTTTTGATTTACGAAATCCCTCGACGTGTTTACCTCCCCATTTTCTTTCCTGTGTTGCGTTTTGAAGTTACCATTTTATTGATTAGTCTGCGTGCAATATACGATGACCTTGCTGTTTTACATTGATTTTTCCTGTCGAAGTTCAAGCCCCTGTGCGTTTCTCACTTGTTATCTGCGTTATGGAACGAGAGGCTGCAGTTGATAGGTTGTCCCGCAGTTTACTGGTTCCAATAAATTCTGCTGTCCATGCCTACTTCAAATTCATTCCGGGGAAATATTGCTTTAAAACTGAAGGATCCCCTTTTATGAGTATTACGTCCAGCAAAAAGCGTGATCTATCGAAAGGATGCTTCTGGGCATACTTTCCACGAAATATGTTTGAATCTAAAAATATCGGAAATCAACGGAAAACGCCGCATTACTGAAGCAGTCAGTTACCGTAAGTGGAATTTTCTCGGGTGGCTGGAAAGATTACAGCATCGTGTGGCCTATGAAATACTTCGGAAATCTGCTGCACACTAACCAGTATCTCAACTTCTAACTAAAATGATAATTAAGTATTTCGGCCAATGCCAGATGTCGTCATCCGTATCGACTCTTCGTCAGTTTGGCTCGCCGACATTGACACTAGGAACGGTGGTCATCCGCACGCTCCCCTCGCGGATAAATACTTTGCCTAGACGAAGTCTCGGCGACGAATATGGAGCGGGGAGGTCGCCGTGCTTGTTGAGGGCCGGAAAACCTTGACTCGAGCAGTTTGCAGTTCATGCGGTTGTGACTACTGCGGACGCGGATGGCCGAGCACGCAGCAGCGGGGAGGAGGAGAGATGCCAGCTCCCAAGTGGCGGCTCAGTCGACGGGACCCAACCACACATTCAAGTTTGACGAGGCATAAATTTTTGCTAGAGGTGACAACTGCGCGAGCCGCAAACTGCTCGAGTCATGGTTTCCCGGCCCTCAATCAATCAACAAACACAACGTTCCCCCGTCCCATATTCGGCGCCGAGACTTCGTCTAGGCAAAGTAGTTAACCGCGAGGAGAATGTGCGCATGACCACCGTTCATGGTGTCAATGCCGGCGAGTCGAATTGCCCCAGAGTCCAAACGAATGACGAAATCCGGCAGTCAACAACTCGACGGCGTGCGATGAGCGTGGGGGCCAATAATCTTGACCGACACACAAGCGCATATCAACCGCATAATTCAACACCTGGCCGGTCGAGCCGTGATACACTCGGGAGCTGCTAACGGGGATAGGCATATGGCGGCCTAGCAACTACATCCTATAAATACTGGCCAATCTACCACACTTATCTTACTCTGTCTCTGATGGTGGCTTCGAGTGCGAATCCGAAACGTCGGACTAATAAAGCTCTTGTTGCAAGGATCGTCTCTCCTTCTTGGTGACTACTTTCTGGGACTCGCTTCTTCGCTTCTATTAGCAAATGGTCTATGTATTTGCTCGCTTGTGGTTCCAGCGTTCTACCGGTCTACTTTCAGTGAAATATGCATCTGGTAAATAAATATCCGAGTATTTCCGAACAAAAAAATTATTCCACATGTTATTGGGCCGATCGAAAGCAAGGAAGAAACAAAGACGGCATTTCAAAGTCAACCGGCGAGTTGGTTGCAGTGGTAGGTGAAAAACATATGTCTTGTGGTCATGCCGTTGTCATAAGCAGGTGGGTTACGTTCTTACCACTCAGATTGGCAGCGGTAGTAGCAGGTTTTTTACTTGGGAGAGCAGGCTTCTCTGAGTCGGAAGCTTGGCGCTTCCTTCGAGTTACATTGACTGCGGAAGGTGTGCCGGGGGACTTCGCCTTCGAGGCAACGGTTTGAGTGGCGTCCGTCCCGTCATCATTTTCAAGGGTAGAGCGCGAAGTAATTGAGGTGTGGTTCTTGGCTATGGACAGAAAAACCCACTCAGGTCAGAAACTGAGTAGCAATCCAGTAAGAAGTTTAGAACGCTTTAGGTTCTATGCAAAAATAATGGTGATACATTTCCCCATCCAGACCTCTTGAAATACTCGCCTACAATGAATGCCAGGGAGGAGACATTTCTACGTGAGCAACTAGACGATTAAGGGAACTGACAAAAACGACAAAGGCCGGAACAGCCATCTCCGGCTTACTAGCCGTCGTCAGCAAGCTATGCCCAACCCCATGTCTGGGGTTAGGACCTGAGTTCTTTTGGTTACCCAATGCTGGTAAATCCAAAGCTATAACCACTGAGCCACGGGCTCGTTGTCCTGTCGGTTTTCATCGGACACATTAACTATGGCAGAAGGGCGGCCACCAATCAGGTTACGGGGCGTGCTCGTCCCGTTGTCTTGGAGCTCAATCTACAGTCCTCACAGGCGGTTGCACTCCGACCAGTGCTACAGACAGGTAAGCAGGTACCCACAAAGACAGGGGAGATGGAGATGCCCATTTCTGACATAAAAACCGTCGTCAGTCAGAAAAATCCAAGGCACAGGGACACGAGTACGTTTTGTAACCTGATAGGCAAGCGTCCCTATACCACCGTACCAGAGGACTACTACGGCAGTATGACTGTCCATGCAAACAAAGTAGAATGGCAACCGATGAAGATCCGATGTGAAGCTTTACAAGTCGTGCACTACCACTAGGGAAGTTGGCACGCCTGCAAAATTGTTGGCAGTCCTGCGGCCAAAAGTAGTGAGTAATTTAACAGCTAAGGTCTCGAAATTCAACCTACGACTACAACTACAAGGTGAACAAAAACCACTGACACAAAGAAGACGATGGAACTAGAGCACAAAGAAACTCAAAACTGCAGAGGATAAAACCACAGTCTGATCGTCATAATCGACACAACACAGCAAAATCCTACGAGGCAGAAGTAGTTGTCGTTAAAATATTTACAAAAAACAATGGCACATAGCATTTGCCATACTTATAACTCCCACAGCGATGTTTCAATAAGCAAAGAAGACCGGACACCACCTTATGTGTAGTGACTGACAATATGACACAGTCAAATACTCCCAAGTGGCGAAAGCTACAGTCTAATATAAGCTACATGAACCTGACAGCTACACGTTACGAGCAAAGATAGCGCTGGAACTCAGTGACGCCCAAACAAACAGCACAGATATCAGGCTATGAAAACAGTAAAACAGTCCACAGAGAACAGAATTACCAAGGGATGCGCGAATACTCGGGGACGAAAAAGAATCCGCCTTAAATTTCTTCGGCATCACCGCGGCCGAATTCGGACCAGGGAGCGCACGTTTTCCAGTAGAAGACACCTGAGGAATAAGGAAGGCATACCCTGAAAACCTCAATTCAGCGCTACTTAAGACGGCATAAATCAAAAAACTAACACTCGCCGAAGAAGTTAAAGCAGTTCACAAGACAGGCTACAACACACTTACCATTATCCTCGGCGGCTCATCCTCCGACTCACTCTCAGACTCCGATGAACTCGACGCCTTCTTCGACTGACTTCCAGCCTTGCCTACCACGCCTGCCTTCACCACCGGCTTCGCCACTGCGACTGTCTTCTTCGGCGGCTCATCCTCCGACTCACTCTCAGACTCCGATGAACTCGACGCCTTCTTCGACTGACTTCCAGCCTTGTCTACCACGCCTGCCTTCATCGCCGGCTTTGCCTGTTTTGGAATGTTTTCGACTATTCCTTTTTTATTGAGGGAATTGGTCATTTTACTCGGCGTGTTCACCATCGCTGCGGGTGTTTTTCCAAGGTTGTTTACAGCGGTAGTCTTTGGCTTTTCCTTTCTAGCGTCATTCCGGTGCTCGGACGAGGTTGACTTGGTTGGCCCTGGCCAGTTCCGGGATACAAACGTTTTGTCATGTACTGCCGGCAGTTGTTTTGGTGTCACCTCTTCAGAATCAATTTGAGATTCCGATTCGGCCGCTGTTTTCTTTGCAGTCTTTAGCGGGAGTTGGGTGTTTGCGTTTCGTTTTTTCTCTTCTGTTTGTGGATTTTGGGGACTAGCAATGTGGTAAGAGCTATTCCGTTTTCGTTGCTTCACTGTTGGCCTTTGAGGTGAATCTGAACTTGCATTTTTGTTGAGAGGCTTGAAATGAATAGAAAGTTCTGGGGAGTGGGCCGCTTTAGATGTTTGAGCAAAATATCCGTCTGCCCTCGTATTCTTCATTGGTAACTATAGGTACAATGAAGCGAAAAATAAGCCATTAAAGAAATGCTAGTGAAATAGGATGATGATGAAAGAGGACATTTAGATCGTTTCTAGACACATACTTTGTTCACGAATATTCATTTTGAAATTATTTCGGCGCTTTAAGACTTAAAGTGTATCTTGTGGTAAAAAGGTTTATGAGGGAGAAATGTCGGCCACTTTCTGATCAGGATAGTTCCTGTGTAGGAAGCTAACAAGCGATGTTATATGGTGAGGCGCGCCGGTTAAAATGTATCATCCTATGAAAGTATACTTTAGAACCAACCTATGAGATTGGGACTGTTGTCAGAAAGTCAGCACAGCCACTTACCTTGATGTCAGGTCAGCTGAGAATCTGGTCTGATACAGTGAATCGGGACACAACAGTGGCTGTTGAACCTACGGCAAATGGTCTCCTTTAATGGCGGAGGAGGTGAATCGATCTACCAGGGCCAACTATTGTTGGTAATTGCGGGTAGAGGGATAAAACTCGCGACATGGTTGAGGCCGGCCAGAGTCATACCGTGTGAGGTGACAATCATAGGCAGGCCATAAGTTTAATTTTAGAGATCTACGTGCCAAGTTGATATTCCACCGACCGCATGGCAATTGTAAGAAGCAAAAATATGAAAGCTCTGTCAAAATTATTGATGGTGCCAATGGTTGAGCACGAATACCTTCTTCAAATGCTTGAGTTAATAGTGTTCGAGGATTCCTACATTCCTAGACGAGCAGACGGACGGACACTTAGCAACAGCCAAGAAAAGCATTTTAAACTATTGCAATCCGCGGAATTCCACTGCACTGAGTCCTCCACCTGAGTCAGACCTATGCAGGAGTAGCTATTTTTTGTGGCCCACAATGACGGTCGGCTGCAAAATATGGGTTACGATGTCTCCTGACTCCAAGTAAACTTCCCGTCCGCCAGCACATGTAGTTGCGCTTTGTCATTTACGACTGGACTGACTTTACGAGGTGCGGTAGATAACTGCTGGGACAACTACCTTCCAAGCAATCTATGACGTCAGACACTCTACCTACTACGTCAACGACTGCGAATATGCCAGCATCCGAGAGTTCGGATGTCACAGACGACGGCGTCCACCTAGCGCCCCACGGATTGAGCATAGCAATGGCCAGCTGCCCGTAGATTAGTCAATTGAGGCAAATTTCTGTGAAAGTTGCCGCTCTCTCTCTATCTTCCCTCGCCCCCTTTGATCCAATGGCAAAATAATGTAAAGACCATGGAAAGTGGGCGCGGGAGAAGTGGCTGACAAAGCTAAACAGCCCGCTTACTCGTCCCACAACCTGGTATCCACTGCATGAGCGGGTCAGATCTCAAATTGATGAGAGTAACATAAAGTTCACATTCAGGAGGAGCCATTGGACCAGACTCAGTACTGCAAAGGACCCACTTACCCCGGTAGTTAACAACCTTCCAAGCCACGAGTCTTCATAGAATCAAGCACGCCCGACTTGTCGTAGAGCGAAATACGCTGACTTGCTGTGAGGAGTGGATCCTTCATTGTCGACCTTACTCTCCCTTGATAGCATTCTACCCTCCCAGGGCTGGCCTGGTCGCGGGCTGGTGTTGCGATTAACTGGATTTTCTCAGCAATCTTAGCGGACACTGTCCACACGGGGACAGTAAGTTAACAAGCCTACTCGGCCGAATTGACGGCGTTGTAGCCCAAGACGATTTAAGTCGGCAAACATGCGCATAAGTCTGGATACAGTGCGTGCGTGCGTACGCGCAAAGGGGCCCCTCATGAGTGACGTGCAAAATGCGCTCGGGTGAGCATCAAGGTGTAGCAGAATTGCTCCTTTCCTCGCACAGATCGAGCACTGTCTGCCATCAGGTTACTATCTCTGTACTAGCCCGCAAGTCAAACGGGCTAGCAAAGATCTAGCCCTAGGCGACTAAATGCTATCAGGTCCCTTCCCTCCTCCATGTACCAGTCGACTAAATCTACCAACCGACGATGACAGTAGTTTTGGACAACGGGGGACTCTGCGCCGCCCGTCAAGAGCCAGTCTGATTTTGTTTTGGTTTAGTGCATTTACGGCGCATCCCGTTTTGGAGGCCAATATCAGCGCCCAACAACAATCGATGCGCGCAAGTATTGTAACATTTGGTGCAGTCAGTACCGAACTTGAGTAACTGCAACCAATCACTTCGATCATCGCGAATAAATATGGCTTTACCTCTTCCGCAATAACATAGGCCTTTCTTCGTTAACAAATGAGACTTTGTTATATTAACCATGGTTAATATAACAAAGTCTCATTCTTTGACGAAATGGCAATTTCTCAGGCATACAGTTTAGACATGTCTCCATGTAAGGGCACCTCAGACTCCAGCACTTTTAAACATAAGGCAAATAAATCTGTCTACGAACACTTGAAAAAAGACTTGTTTACAACAACGATAGATGCGAGAAAAGCGGCTAACCAAATTGGTCCAAGAAACCACGCTTGCCGAACTTGTATGGCGCGGGCGATAATAGTGTAGGCATAAAACCACACAGACGACTACGCTAGAAGACTGAAATGGTTGGCATATGTCTTCAAGAAGGTAGTATACCAAGGTCAGGCGGCGCAATGCTTAAGAAAAATCGTACAATGATTAAGAAAAGAACTCGGAGCAACTTGTATATTAGCAAGAGACCTAAGTTTGGACTTCAAGGTTTGTACAGATCTATTCGAGAACCCGCGAACCCGTGTGTGCCATAAAATCGTAGGAGTGTATGAGAACCTTAGACACGCACTGGAATGTCCAACAGTATTTTTAACGATTGGACGCTTGCAGCCATTGCCAGACAAAGGAACTGCGCCGAGCGCTCATCCAGATTGCAGAAAAAAACAGAATTAGCAGCCCTAAGTAGCATTCACAAACGTAGACACAGAAAGTATACAGCATTATTTGGATATGAAAAGCAGGACACTACCAGCACATAAATGAACAAAGTCTAAAAAAACACCTTTTGATAGCGTTAGTGGGCCCCTGCATTCAGATACACCTCATAAGTGGGTGCCAACTATTTGTTTTATTTCCTCTGGCTAGCCTCTTGCTTCATGAAATTCTTCTCAAAAGTGACAATATTTTGCTGGCGTTTATCCTTTTGTATTAGTCAACGATGAAACATGCGCCATTCGATCTAATTCGTGCGCCGAAGTCGCTTTTGATGTCTCTAGAATAAACCGAATTATTAGGCAGGACGATAATGAAGAATTTATTGTACAGTGCCTGGGGAGCACTACTGAACCATGGACAGTTTAACACGCGGACAAACACAGCATCGTCACAACAGGCTAATTCGTGCATGCTCATCCGGGCATATTTCACCCCGATAAGCTCCGGGCAGGAACGAATTCAAATACATGATGCATTTGTAATTATGTGTCCCGCTGCGTATGTCACCAAATATTCACTTGATGATTGGAGACCGTGTAGTAATTATCGTGTCCCGAGGAGTCAGTCTACCGCATCGGTATCCAATTCCCCTTATTCACGACTTTTTCAACGCGTCGGCTGGGAAAGTCTTTTTTAAGACCGAATTTACGATAACCAACTACGAGAACCAGTCGCTGATGGGAAAATTTCGAAATAGTTGCCACGACACCCTTTATTCGCCAACGCATTCCTTTGCATGTCCTTCGGTTTGCGCGATGTCAGCAAATAGTCGAGTTGTTTTATCTAGGAAGATTTGCGCAGTCTTAAATGTTCACTTTTACACAGACGATACGTTCGTCGTCAGTTTTCAGCTAGAGGGACACGCATCATATTTGTTCCAGGTATTCAACTCTTTCTAGCAACACTGATTGAAAATAAACGTTGACGTTTTTTGGCGTCTCGTTTACAGATTCCCCGGTCGTCACGACAGACAGCATGGAGTCGCTTCTCTAAAAACACATACGCAGTTGCGGCGTTTCACTGGCCTTTCCACCTAATGCCGACGATATATTCCTAACTGCGCGCCCGCACTGCCTTCCACGACTGATTATCTGAAGTTTAAGACAAAGCCGGTCAAATTCCTACTGGCAATCCACTCAGTTTTTTACGCATATAAGAAGGCTCCTGCGGACGCCACTATGCGTCACCGTCTCAGTATCGACGCAAGTGTATAACCGATGTTGACCACTGACGCTTCCACAGGTACTGTCGGCGTCATCTTACATAAACAGAAGAATAGCCAGTTGCTGCCACTTGTTTTCTTTTCGCAGAAGCTTCTTTTGGCTCAGAATCGCCACAGTGCTTTCTCTCGCAAACATTTTGCTATCTACCTATCCATTTGTCATTTCTGCCACCTGTTAACGACCGAAGGTTTTGGGATGTGCCTCGACTACGGACGTCTGTTTATCTCCACTTTCGCATTCTAATTCAAGCCGGATGACGCTTCCCTAGGGAGGTGCGCCACCTACATTGCATTTACGACCTGCTCCCAACATCCCAAATGTCCAGGGCGACGACGCTGTCGTTGCTGATGCATTATTTCAACCGGATATCATTATTTTGACGTCCATCTTTCACCTGACAAAGCTTGCTGACATTCATTTAGAGGGTAACCCAATTTCTGACCTACGCGACTCTACCGTCCAGCAGTTTCCTGACTCAGTTCAGTTCAGTTTATTAACGGAAACAGGCATGCACCTTTGAGTACCATAACGTCCAGTCTGAATAGTCACCGTATGGGCTGAAATGGTTCAAGTGGTGACCATAAAATTACGAAAATTACGAGTGGTTCTGAATGCCTGATTTAAATCTCTCATTAATCTTGCTCATTTCAGAGCATTAATATTTCCAGCCTCATTTTAAAGCTTTCCAACGACGGTGACACCACAGCATTTACGGTGAGTGCATTCCGTGATTTAATGACTCTGACAGAATTGGAGACCCTCTGCAATTTCAGACTCGCCTGCTGACGAGCAATTTCAATGGTGACCACGAAGTTGGGTTATCGTGGTAAATTCAAAAATGCTCTCAAGGTCCACACTGCCATTCAGACGTCTAACAGTGCTGAACGCTTATGGGTGCTTTTGCGCAAATGCTTAGAATTCAAAGGGGAAAAGTACAGATTTGTTAGGCGGTTTTGCTTTATGCTAGGCGTTTTGACCCCTACTCATTTTCGTGGCTTTTCGTTGAACAATTTCAAGGCCACATTGATTTTGGAACGTACATTGTCCCCAGGCTTATATGCCGTATTTTAAATGCGACCAAAGGAATGTTCGAAAATCCCCGATAAGAAGTTCCCATCGAAATCCATAAGTGTTTGCCTGGTGGCGGGCAGTACGGACACTGGACATTTTTCACCTTTGAGCAATGTGTGGATGGTTTTAAGTAGTTCGCCGTTAGAACATCTTTGGCCTCAGCGTTTTGTATACCTGCATCGTTGGAAAGTATCTTTCGTGCTGACGAATCTGACTAAGTTGTTCAGACGAATGACATTGCCCTTATCGACGTTGAAGCACAAAAGCCAACGAGTTAATCTCACTTGCTGCTGCTGCTGCTGCTGCTGCTGCTGCTGCTGCTGCTGCTGCTGCTGCTGCTGCTGCTGCTGCTGCTGCTGCTGCTGCTGCTGTAGACTGACCTGAAGTCTATCATCCTCGGGGGGTTTACAGATTGGACTTCGAATCCTCATGTTGGCAGCACACTTCTGTTTCGCTGTCCAAATATCTTGCTCAATCGTTAACGTATATTAGGGACAAAATGGTCCCAGTACTGAACTTTGGTAATCCACTCTTGACTCTAGCTAAATTCTATTAATTTCGGTTACTGCAAGTACCCTGGCGCCCACCCACATGGAAGTTTTCGATTAGTATGAGAAAGTTATCTTTCATCCCTATTCTTTTCTGTTTGTTTAATAGTCTCTAGGTGTGGTACTTTATCGCATGCCCTTTGATGGACAATAGAAGCAATGTGGACCTCTGCCTAGTCTCGAGTGTCCTGATACAGCTCTGGAGAAATTGCAGCAAATTTGTGATTTAGGATCTTCTTCTCCGTAATCCGTGCTGGAAATCCGATGGCAAGTTGTGAACTCCTAGAAATGGCAATAATTCGCTCTTCATGACCCTCTCCATTAATCTGCTGAAAATGCACGCTAAGCTTTTAAGCCTGAAATTTGTCTCCGAGGCCTGGTTACACCCTCCATATAGGGGGGTTAAATGCACCAACCAACACAAAGCGTTTGTGTGACAAGTGAAGTATGGAAGAGCATTCACAGATGCGCAGGATGCTTATTAACACGTATACTAAGAAACCCGGGAGTTATATTGTTTGATCCTAGAGAGTTCTCTACTTTTAATCCAGTTTCTTTGCTATAGTTGTGATCTTTTAAAAAGAGGATATTGTTTATCCTTGGAGCCGGTCGGTGTTCCGCGAAGGGAGGAACCATGCCTCGTACTGTATGTGGTCTTACACCTAAAACAGAACGACGGGCATAAAGATAATCACACCGCGGCAGATAAAAACATGGAATTTTTCAGAACAAGTTCTGTTAATACGTAAAATGCACATGTTGGCATGCGGAATGTATTGTCAAGTTAGTAAATCTGCAAAAATACTAAGAAATTTGGGTCGAAATCTTCTTTAGCTTATGCTCGAGAAATTCCCTATGTTAATGGTTGTGCTACATTATGTTTGCATATTAACGCATGTATTTCAGGGAGAGGATAGTAATTTAAACTTGGGGTGTTTACCAAATAAAGTCTGCGCTCTGGAAAGGTGGTATTTGTCCAACAAAACCATGAAATGAAGGACGTGAAAAACAAATTACTTTTTTTAAAAACAGATGTTTTATTCAATTAAGAAAGTCAAGTTCCGCAACTTACGTGCTTTCATGTTCTGAGAAGGGGTAACAATATCTGCAATAGTCTTTTGTTTAAGCGGTTGGTTATTTTACATCCACTTGCGATTATCCTAGAAATACCTGCTAAAGGCTCATGATCGGACATTTGAGCACCCGATAGAATAATTTTTGTATGACAGGCTTGACACTTATACGTACTTTAAACGGGACAGAGATGATAATAAAGATCATAATAATAATTTTTATTAAAGACCCGTAGGTGTCACATCAAAGCAACTCAAAATAAATTTGCATATGTGTTTAGGGCGAGGAAGGCAGAATCTGTACAAATGCAATTCACAGTTTATGAATTTGTTGTTCGTTAAGAAAAATTAAAAGTGAGCGGTGAGAAAAAATCGAATTAAAAATTTAAAAATGATTTCATGAATTTTACAGGAGAAAAACCCTCACTAATAATAATAACAGAAAAATGCGGACAAGACTGGCCTGCATGCGGGAGTGTACAACGGATTATAATCGGACATCGTCTGGGCAGAAATAAATGTCAGCCTTGAGGGGTATTTATGCGGGTCAGACAGGACTGGCCTGCATGTGGTATTGTATAAGGAATTTAAAACGGACATCGTCAGGGCAGAATTGGCACGCCGGATGGGAATATTCGCGTAAAAGTGGCCAGACGAGGGGAACCCAGACGAGATCGGCCACAGTACGCTTCGAGCCCAGCCGATGAATGGGCAAGGGAGGTACGACCAAACTACTAGTAGACGGCGAATACTGAGGGTTCCGCCGTGGGCGTCGATAGACCGCATGAGGTTGGAATGCGGGAGATGACATCAAAAATCGCGAAAATCGTCGCTATGGGGGAGGAGTGATGGCAGTGGATTAAGGAACTAATTCAAAACAGGGGTTGTAAAGACATAAGTGAAGGTTTCCACTTGATCTATCACCAAATCCCAGAAGGACCCTTCTCGAAGTCAAGAAGCTGGATGTTTTTGAATGAGACTGTTACAAGTGCCCTTATACTTCCCGGTGTAAGTTGTTTAAGTAATTTCGATTTGAATGCCGATAACTTAGGCGATGACCTAATTTCTGACGGAAGATTATTCCAAAGAAAGGCATATTTGGAAGCAAGAAAGAGGGAGCGCTTGGATGTAGTGCAAAGAGGCGGCGGAATCACCACAGAATAGTTGTGCGGGGCGTAAGACCGATCTATCGGAGTGAGACTGTCATTGGCGGAAGATTGGAGCTAGAGTTAATGCGAAATAGAAAGCAAAGGCCGGCTTCGAGCCTTCAAACCCAGAAAGACTTAATGTCCGCCAGCTGACATCTCTGAGTACAAGAAGTGCCGGATGCGACTTGAGAGTACAGATTCCGGGTAAAAACCCTCGGAACATTTTCGATCTTATTACGGTCACAGTCGTTCAGTGAACCAAAGAAACGACATCAGTATTCGAGGACTTAGAGAACAAACATTTGATAAAGTCTTAGCCTCATTACCGGAAGGGAAAATTTATGCGATATGACTCCACATATCTGCGCGGCTTTGGCAGAGATTCTATCTGCATGAGGTGATAAAACAGGTTTATTTGTTTAATTAGACCGAGGTCCTTTATGCTGAGGCATTCTGAGAGTGGATTATTCGGAAAAATTATGGGACGAGGAAGTTTGGCATGACCAAAAAACATGAAACTACACTTGGATGATGAAAACTCCATCTGGCATGTTGAACCCCATCTGCTTAAGCGAAGTAAATCGGCATTAATTTTTTCAACACAAGCATTTGCGGTGTCCTTAGAAAATGAGGAAACGCACTTGAGGTCATCGGTATAAACGAAATTTTGCAAATTTTCGGGTTCAGTCGAAATATCACTGATCTAGAGAAGGAAGAGCAGCGGACCCAATTTTACAAAAGACGTCTAAGTCAGTTTAAGTCAGTTTATTAAGGGAATGAGGCTTTCGCCCTTGAGCTCCCTATTCATATCGATAAACAGATATAAAGTCATCAATTACATCAGCAAATGCGAAAAGTTAGGAAGTTAGCGGTAAGTGTGAGCTAGGCGCAAACTGCCGCCGCTAAAACAATCATTATTGTATGTACAGTAGGTTCTCAACAAGTGAGCGTCTAGTCTGCACTTGAAGGATTTGACACATTCGGAAAGAACGACGGCGTCAGGGAGTCCATTCCATGCCCCGATGACCCTGTGAGAGAAGGCGTTCCGTCGGACGTCCGAATGAGCCCGCTTCCTTTGCAGTTTGAACGGATGACCACGCAGACGGTCAGTCCGGGCCAATTCAAAGAATTCATCAAAATCTAGGGCACACTCACGACCTCTGACAATCCTGTAGGTTTGAATGAGATCGCCGCGCAGTTGCCTGTAATTTAGAGGAAACAGATTTAGTTCGGTCAGCCTGGTTTCGTAAGGCAAATGATGAAGATTCTTGACCATCTTCGTAGCCATCGCCTGTACTCTTTCCAGTCTTTGATAATCTTTCTTTAACCACGGTCGCCAGGCCTGGACTGCATACTCTAAGTGAGACCGGACGAATGCCCCATAGGTTTTTCCGAAGAGCTCCTTGTCGATCTGCACAAATCCTCGCCTAAGCGCAAATAACACCCTTATCGCACTTTTGGCTGCCCTTGGACACTGTGAAGATGGTTTCAGCGAGGAGGTCATTAGGACGCCAAGGTCTTTCTGTTTCACAACACTTGAAAGGGGCTGACCACCAAAGACATATTGAAAGGAATCGTCCTCCTTACTGGTCTGTCTGGTGCGGAGTCTCAGGACCACACATTTGTCCACATTAAAATTGAGGAGCCAGCGAGCTGACCAACTGTTTAGGCGGTTGAGACTGTCTTGAAGCGCGTACCTGTCTGCATCAGATCTGATGGGTCTCCACAGCTTAACATCGTCAGCAAACATGATGGCGCTGCATCCCAGGTCGTCGACGCAGTCGTTAATGTAAATCAGGAATAGCTACGGCCCTAAGACGGAGCCCTGGGGTACACCACTTAGAACGGGAGTAGGAGTTGACCTTGAGGCCTCAATGCACACGGTTTGCGATCTCCCGGTAAGAAAATCTGCTATCCATGTCAGCAGCTTTCCTCTTATCCCAATTTCCGAAAGTTTGTAGATTAGGCGTTTGTGTGGGACGCTGTCGAACGCCTTCTTAAAGTCTGTGTATATGACATCAACCCTCCCATCCTCGTCCAGTGCGCGAGTCCACTGCTCCGTCGAGAGCAATAAACTGGACAGACACGAGCGGTTCTGTCTAAAGCCGTGCTGCAGGTCTGAGATTAAATGGCCCTGCTCCAGGAACTCCATAGTTGCTTTCTTAACTATGGCCTCCATTATTTTACAGCAGATGCAGGTTAGACTAACAGGCCGGTAATTGTTAGCATTAGTGCGAGCCCCGCCCTTGTATATCGGAAAGATATTTGCTGTCTTCCATTCCGATGGCAACCTCCCTAATTCGAATGACGAGCGGAAGATGTGCGCCAGTGGTTTGGAAAGTTCATTCGCCAGCTCCTTCAAGAATTTGGCCGGTATATTGTCCGGACCCGAGGACTTTGCTTCCTTGAGATTTTTCAGCTCCCTTTCCAAGACAGCTGTCGGAAACAGTATGGAGTCAAGCACGCGATCAGCAGTCTCAACAGCATTGCTAGTACTGAGACTGCGAAACTCTGTTTCTCTAGTAAAAACCGAGGCAAAATACTGTCCTAAGTGTTCGGCTTTCTCGCTGTTTCCAGTGATCTCTACACCATTACCATACTTCAGCACCGCGACCGGGTCCTTATTTTTCAGTCTACTGTTAAGATAGTGAAATAAAATCTT